GGCAACCCAGATGCTCGGCAACTCTCAGTGGCCGAGCGTGCAGGATCTGGGGTGGCCGAGCGTTTGGGAGGGCTGGGCAACATAGGCCCGATCCGTAATGATAGCTGCAACTCTAAAAAGGCCATCTTTGAACATAGGCCCGATTTGCTCGGCAACTCTCAGTGGCCGAGCGTTTGGGAGGGTATAGCCCAAGGTCTCCATATGAAGTTTGCTCCAACATAGTTGGCCAAGAGGGCCCAGATGCTCGGCCACTGGCAGTTGCCGAGCGTTTGGGGCCTATGTTCAAAGATGGCCTATATAGAGTTGCAGCCATCATTACGGAGTCAGTGGCCGAGCGTTTGGGAGGGTATACCCCAAGGTCTCCATATGAAATTTGCTCCAACATAGTTGGCCATGTTGCTGGAGGTCGTGCCTGAAACCCAGTCCCTGCACGATAATTGTCTGGCTGAATAAGGTGGGACCTGCTTTGGCAAATGGTCCAGAAGGCTGTGCCTGGTTACGACAGCCCGGCTGCCAAGCAGCTCTGTGGACTTCTTCTTGCTTTGCCGACCAGTGGCCAGCCGAAAATGGGGAGTCATGTTTAGTTTGCTGTATCTGATATCCATGTCTTCCTGACACATGCTACAGGCTGGGACTCGGCCTCCGACGAGACACACGAGCAGAAGCTGATCTCTGCGTGCTACAGACAGAACACCAGAGGGGCCATGATCCAACCCCTCACAATCTTTCAATGGGTGAGTGTGGTCCTGCTCTCCTGTCACCCGGTGACTTGTATGATTATGAAGCACATGTTGTCTTTGAGCCATAGCCATGCAGCAAGGCCGGCTGCAATGAAGCGGAGCTCTTCGAGACTGCCCCCACAAACCGGGCACACTGGCTGGAAGCATTCCAGCGGATCCTGAGTGGCTACAATGAGCGTGTCAGTGAGGATGGGGTCGAGAAGCAGCCGGCGAATGCCAAGAAGCGGAAGCGGGCCAGCCGCCAGGCCAAGCAGTCCGCCGAACCTGCTGTCGAGATGGACCAGAGCAGTATCAAAATCGGCACCCAGAGGCAGACTGCCATCAAGTGTGTCTTGCAGCACTTCACCCGGCAGGCTTGGGAAACTTGTACACAGCACATGGCCTGGACATACTCGGCGGCCAATAGTGCTTTCAGCGATGCCTTGTTGTCGTGGACACACTTGTATCCGGCCAGCCCGCCCCCGCCAAGCTGCCTGCCGACCGAAGTGCAAGTGCTTGCTGCACATGAGGCAAGGCAGCTCAACACTTGAATAGGTTGCTTTCTGGACTTTGTGAGCCTCTGTAAGCCATCCCGTTTTGCAAGGCAACAGACTTGGCTTTGCGGATGGTTCCCTCCAAGGCTGCCTCGGCACTGACAGACTTCACAAGTCCGCTGACAACCCACGAGTTTGAGCATCTGCTCGAGAAGATCGTCAACAGCTTTGAGCAGGATACATCAAGGCTGGATGTGACACACTCCCGAGCGCAGTGTCCTGACTTGAGTTGAGTGCTGCTTGCATGTTGTGAAAGTGCAATGTGCTGCATCTTCCTTGCAGAACATGATAACATCTACGCACCGAGATACCGCGCGGACGTGCCCAAGCTCGAGCGATTCCGGACGGTCGTTTGCTGCTGGTTCCGCTGCATGCACGAGGTTTGCAAAAAGGACCCGGCAGAGCACTTGTATTTCCTGGCATCAAAGTCGGAGCCGTTCAGTATCTAGTTGCAGCTTCCATGAAAGTGCGGCCAAAGGACCTGATGGCAGACGATTTCAACGAAGTGCAGGACGCGATTCTACGAGGCACAGCTCTGGACCCTGCTGCATCCGGTCGGCAATTATCGGGCTGATGAGGACAGAGCAAATAAAAGTCTGCATGTCAAATCTCTTTCAATGGGGCAAAGGGTCCTATCTTTCCACGCAGAAGCAAACTGCTACTGTGAACTTGATCTTCGCCGATGTGTCTCAGAATCTTGCCAAAAGCATCTTCCGAGCAGAGGTGAAACAGATGGCCTCCACCTTCCCGCCAATCTTCCACAAGGCCATGATCCCTGACCTGCGGTCTGCTGATGACGATTGCCATGCCGATGCAGAGCAGAAAGCGCTGGAGGAACAGGAGCTGAGCAACTGGCAGTCCAAGCTGGACCTGTTCCGATGCCAGTTGAAGTCCGACCAAAAAATGGTCACAAATGTGGCAGCGGGCCACCGGATCCTGGCGGACCGACTGGACTGGGCCAGACACATGAAGCGGGCAGCCGAGATAGACAAGGCGACTAGTCTGGTGTCCCAATACATGGCCTGGTACCACCCTCTTTTGGAGTGCAAGTCTTTGCATGATGCTGCAGCATGGTATTTGAAATGCGATGCTGTGACATGTCTGCAAGAATCTTTCCTTGGCTGCTGGGAAGTTAGCTTGAGTTTGGAAATACACAGTGATGCTCAGGCGAGCAAAGTGCCCCTGTGTCCACCTCCGCCAAGTGGGTCTGCCTTTGTCTCTGATGACACGAAGTTCCAGCATCTGACGCTCCTGCGGATCGACCTCAATGTCCCCAATGTATCTCGTCCGAAGCTTGTTCCATTGAAACAAGCCACTGGGGCAAAGAGAGAGAGAGAGAGAGAGAGAGAGAGAGAAACAGAAGGAGAAAGATACTGTTACAGTGGCCGGTGCATAGCCTGATGCAGCCCTCGAGCTTGAGTGGAATGATGAACACCCAGGCACGCAATGCATTGATCATGGAGAAGTTTCCATGCTGCAATAAGATCGAAGAGAGAAGTCTGTTCTCCCTTGCTCAGCTTGCTTCAAACATGTCTTGACAAGCAAGGTACCCAGCCTTTGCTGGCCAGCTGGCAAAATCCCGGGGTGAGAACCGGGTATTGGTCCTGGTAACGATGCCAACCAGGTGCCCGACCATATGAGGCAAATCTCCTGAAGCACATTTGCGACTCCGGTTCTGAGGCCCAAGGAAGACTCGGTCCAGGAGCCGATCGAAGATGAATGGAACATCGTCCAGAAGATGCAAAAGGAGAGCTTCATCAGCATCACTGCCTCCCAGGCACCTCGAAGCATGTGTTTTGTGTGTGTGTGCCTCAGCATTGAAATGTTCGCCAGGAGCTGACTACAGAAGGACATGACATCTTGTCTTCGGACGCCTTTGCGACCCATCGCCTCTTCATGCATGCTCCGACCGTAAAACAAGCTTTGGAGAACAATGCCTGGGGCAAGAGTGCTCTTGCAGCTCAGCTGTGCAAAGGTTTCCGGCAGTGGCTTCACAGCAAATTTGAAGCTAGATGCACACTTTGTGGTGGAAATTTGAGGTGAGAACTGGCAAGGCACCCTGTGCAGCCTGCCCGAACACCGCCGAGCTTGTGCACGTGGTGCACAATGTGGTAGGGTCCGAGACAGACCCTGCAAGGTTCAGGAACTTGGCCTCCACTCGCTCCAGCCAGAGAGGCCCGCAGGTCTATGAGAGCCTGCTCACCCAGCTCTTCAGCCGGGCAAGCAACTAGACTCAAACATGTGGCTTTACCACTGTGAGCTTTGCATCTGTTTTTATCCTTGTTCCCCAACTTTGCAAGGCAATGAAGATGTGTTCCTCAAGAAGGAAGACTTGGTTGATATTTTGGATTGCCACATGTATGCGGCGGACCTCGCCATCGCATGCTGCCGGATGAGGGCGGCAGGCAGCTTTCCTTGTCGCGTCAGGGTGTGGAACATGGAGTACACCAATGGCCCAGGCACCAAGTTTGGCTTGAAGCGGTTGTCGCAGTACTTGGGGAGCAAATGGCTCGGAAAGCAGATGCAGCTGTTCGAGGAGACAGCCTCTGGGATTGTGGTTGCAACGCCCGAGGGCTCGGAGACGCTGAATGAGGCAGACTTGGCGAGTCTGCGCCAGACCCCCGGTGTCTATGAGGCGTACCAAGGCCTTGGCAAGCTCAGTGGGAGTTTGAAAGTCTTGGCTTCCTGGCCTGCAACCGAGAGAGAGAGAGAGAGAGAGAGCATGTTCTCATACCCCAAGCAAGCAAGCAAG